GTTATATCATGTGTCAACACAAGAACCACAAGCCGGTGTGCTACGCCGAGTAGCGCCGTAGTGGCGCCGTAGTTAATACCGGCTATACAGATACACATGTACACAAGTTGAACATGGGACTATGTGAAGGATTTTGGATTTTCGGGACCTTTCGCTCACAGTTCTTTTACCACAACAAAGTTGCGTGAGGGCGCGCGGGGTGAGAGCCGAGGACAACATTCCAGTGTGTACATCCTGCATGTATCATCACGACACATGTATGGTAGGGGTCGTCACGCAGGGGAGGGTACGTTTCACACTCAAGGGTTGGGGTCGCCAGGTAAGGGAGGGTACGTTGTACACTTGTTGTGGTGGTGAACATGTATGTCTGTAAGCATAGGGCGCTATATATTTCTTTACAGTGACTACGAAGAAAGGCAAGGGCACGCTACCTGAAGATCAGAATCATGTTCTTCTCTGTAGATATGTTCCCTACATACAGAGCACTTGCCACCAACTTGTCACAACTGCAGTTCTGGAGGAAGTCGCTAGGGGAACCAAAATTAATCACTTATAACCAATCGCAAATTCTTTTTTTGGGGGGGGGGGGAAGAGAGAAATTTATTTCTATGCGTCCACCACAGAAGCCATATATCAGTTTTGACATATGAATGCTTGACCCGTATGCTCATCGGAGTAGAAAGAAAAGTAACGTTGAATCCAATCGGCCGAAGCGACAGACAATGGGCTAGAGGTCATCAGGGGTCCCTCTCCTCACAAGAATGAATGAACTCGCTTCAAGCACTGAGGAAGACATTAAGAATGGGGTCATGGAAGGTCACACACCTGAATCCCCCTGGGACTTCTCAGTGACAGGTTAGACCAGATAAGTCTACCTGCTCCCACTGTGACCTGCTCCCTTGGCCTCGTTTACTGTGGCACCTTATATACCAGTGGATAGTCAGGGCTGGCGATGGGGCTGTATTGGAATTCTGATAAAAAACGAGAATCAAATTATCAGATTGTCTAACTTTTCTCCACATATCTATGCGTCTATCTATCCATAGATGATCTATCTATCTATCTAGGCTATCTATCTACATGTATACAGGCTGTTTATCTATGTAGGCCATCTAATATCTATCTTGAGCAATTTCACATATATCTATCTATCTACATGTATTTATAAACAACATACTGGGGTATTTCGATGCCTTTTTCAGTCATAGCAGTAACGCAAAGTCCTGTCAGAGTTAAGCGTCAACTCTCGTGTAACCGTAAATAATTAAAGTTCATCAAGTTGGTGAATGGTTCTTTTTATCCACAACCACTGACTTGTCATAATTGCCCTGATGAAGATGACAGACGGTCATCGAAACGTCTGCTCTTGTTAAACAAGTGGTTGTGCGAAAAGAACTTTGCTGCCCCCTCACGTAAATACGCACATCTCCAGCAGTCAAACGGACGATACACAGGGCTGTGTGGAAACGACAACACACGTCGCGGGTCAAAGGTTATGAATGGCGGCGGCGAGCTGTCGTCACGTCTGATGAATAACAACTTGTTGACAGGCTGTTCCAGAGTCTTTACCTGACTATTGACTGACGCTTGTGGATCTTAAAGATAGTCACGCTTTCCTATCAAAGATGTTTTTACTGAAACAATTTAACCGGCACGCCCTTACGCAATAATAACCTAGAGGGGGGGGGGGGGGGTCTTGAACACGTAGGAGACTATGGCCGTGTCTAAACGGAATCACCCAAGGCGGTTTACATGTGGTTTACCCCGAAGCCGGTTTTAAGTGGCTCCATGTGAACGCTCCGAAATCACATTGAAAGCGGCTCGATCCCAAGCCACTTCTAGAGGTGGTTTCGAATCGGTTTTCCCGCATCGCGATTTGCGTCTGAACGCAATGTGATTTCAATGTGACTTCGCCTGGTCATGGATTACGGAGTGATATTTCTTTTTTTATATGCAATACCAACTTTTACGTGGCAGCAACTTAAAGAGCAGTAATGGTCAAATAATGTGTCCGTTCTAGGGCGAGCTTCACCGCCTCTGGCGGGACCACGTCGGCATTCGGCCGAGATACGCTGGGAGGGGGGCATCAGCAAGCAGGTCGTTGACCTCTGACATTAATAACACACCGCCCTGCGTGTTATCATCAAACAGCAATAAATGTAGCTCAAGCGCATTATGTTCGGACACGGTTTCGCAGGTGTGTGTGGCACGTGGACCAGATGTGAGGAATGTGAGTTACCCGAATCGCGGTTTGGGTGATTCCGTATAGACACGGCCTATGACTGTATAGGTGTTTGCGCTCACGTGACTATGGCGTATTTCATTTTGTTTCAACACTATATTGTTAACACTTTTAAATATACTAAGTGCAATATACGTATTGTACAGAAGGCACAATTCAGCCTTTGGCTGCAACGTCTTTTTTTAATCAATAAACCAGTTTTGATTGATTGTTTGATTGATTGAAGTACCGTCCGCCATATTGGATGCTTACACCCTGGTATATTACACTCGCGTAAGCAACATGATATACAGGTGCGACTCTATTGGTCAGGCTCTTTCAGGTTCAACCAACCAGCATGGCAGCTAGCTGTGACGTCACGGGCAAGCACCCTATAATTATAACTTTAGAACAGATAATAGATTTAGTTATAATGTGATATTGACACATTGAGGACATTAGTGGATGTGTCATACTGACAAACTTTGAGCTGTTTTGTGTTTTTAATTGTCACATGTCAGTTCTGTCATAGGTACATCATGTAGTACAAAATCTTACGACATGCACAAAACACAAACACGACCGTTTCACCATAAAGTTCCTCCGGAAGCGACCTAGAGGTCACTGAAACATTTACGTCGCGATTCTTTGAATGAAACATGAAAGTGACAAGATTGGATAATGATGACGGATGAAGATGCTTTAGATTTAATTGGTGTTCGTCTGAATCTGTAGTCAGTGTAGTGTTGGATGCTTGTTCTCTGACTTTGAAGATTGACCACTTTCTTGCATATTCAGCGACAAATTAAAAGAAGCCTGCTGGTAACTAGTAACTATGTGAGGCGTAATGTTTATTCTGTTCTGTGTTGGGCACAGTTACGTACGCCGTAAGATCGCCGCACAATCGATAAGGACATTCTCGGGACATCTAGTCGTGATAATGTCGTACAAAATTCACCTGCCTTGCTACAGAGAAGGCTGTCTTAGATCCTTGGTTCAGTTACGGCCTGTTTGAAAACCCCACGACATCAACTTCAGCGCCGCCTAACGACAGAAACACTGTCCATCTATCACCCGTCACGGAGTTTGGACAAAATATAGCCACACAAATATTTGCCGCTGCCTTCCGCGGCTAGGGTAGTGGAGCACTGAGGTTTGTTGAGGGCAGGTCTCGGTCAACACGCGAAGGAACAGGTTAGAAAAAAGACATGTCAACCCAGAGGACGTCATCTTACATCGCCATGGCAGCTTGTGAATGTTTACTGTGGAGAACTGTGATGATTGATTTGTTGCTCACCTATTTTCGGCTTTTGCTCCAAGGAATGGAAATATTGTCAAACAGGTTTTACTTCTTTCGCCTGGAGGGTTTTAATCTTTTTTTCAGGGACAGTTATGCAGTCATCAGAAGAGTATATAAATCATATTTTGAATCTACTATTCTATCCTATTCTAGGATAAAACAGCACAATAAAGGGACGTTTAAGTTTTTTTGCGTTATAGCGCGGTCACGTTCGTCATGGGTCGCCATACGGTTGTGATGTCACCAGTATAGTTTTCAAGCAACCTGTGACAGAACCAAACACCGACAAGAGTCTAATAAGACAGTTTTTCAGCAATAAGTCAGGTGGAAAATTTTATGACATACATGCATGACAATCAGGAGAATACAAAGTTTGCGATCGTGTGATATCTTATGATATCTTACAGCCCTCGGGCGAGAGTTTGCAATTAACAATTATTGAGTATCAGTATCCATATTGTCTGTACTCAGTCGTGGTGTTTTACAATGCACAACTAACAAAAACTGAAGTGGTCTTCCCTCTTCAAATTCTATTGTGCAATTCCCCCAATTAAACAGTCATTTGGGAGTTAGGCCAGCAATAAAGAACGGATAACGTCGTCTTGAGTGGGTTTGATCCGTCCGGACTGACGTAACTTCAAACCTCAAGTTTCCTATTTCCTGTCGCCTTATCCTGTCCTAGATCCTGAGTGGGTTTGTTTCCGGACTGTACTTTGAATTTCGTATTTCCCGTGGCGTTATCAAAATTTATAGTGAGTTTTATCCGGATGGTAGAGAGAGCCAAGCTAGTATCGTATCCAGAAACGTGCACGTGCCTATCTAGTTCTATGCCTGGATGTTTTAAGGTTAGGATCAGTCACGTACGGTTCTGGATAGTCGACGCGTATCCAGAACCGTGCCTGGGGCAAATCTCCGTTTGAGGATACAAGGAGACTATCCAGAACTGTGCCTGATCCTAACCTCAACACATTCAGGCATAGAACTATAGGCACTGCTCTGGATAGTCTCGGTGCATTCAAGAACGTAGATTTGCCCCAGGTACGGTTCGTTCTGGATATGTGTGGACTATCCAGAACCATGCCTCAGTTCTGGATAAAGCACGGTTCTGGATATGCGTGGTGGACTATCCAAAATATATGACTCAGCATGAATAAAGCACGGTTCAGAATACAGCACAAACTATCCAGAACCGTGCCTCAGCATACGGAGACTATCCAGAGACGTGTCTCAGTATGGTTCTGGATAAAGCACGGTTCTGGATACAGCAGAGACTATCCAGAGCCGTGCCTCAGCATGGTTCTGCATAAAGCATGATTGTAGTGACAACAGCCAACCTCGCACACAGTGTAAGTTGGCACACATTCAGCGCCCAAGCTAGCCACGGTGTGTAGCGTTGCCAAAAAATCCCCTTTACGATGTAAACACGCTGTCATTACGCACGGTTCTTGTGGGGCTTGCCATGCATGGTTAACAGGTTGCACAAAACAAGGCATATAGCACTTCATCAACATTAAATTACGGCGTGTTGACTGGAGTTAATGGATAATGCGCGGCGTGCAATGATTAATACCGGGCTGTGGTGACGCGCAGAGTGAACTTGGCAAATAGGGGACGGTGGTTTGTAAGTTTTTCTGTGGCACGCCAGTGAAGGCTGGGGTTTGCTCAAGTTATCGCAAACTGTGCAAGTTACACATGGCTCGACCAATGGCGGCGGGGCACCACGTGGGAACAGGTTCTTCAGGTTGGTTGTAGCTGCGCGAGAGTGTTGGACTATGTTCTGACAGCCCAGAAACGGCCGTGTGCAAACCACAACCACCACTCACTCACTCTATCGCCGTGGCAGCTAGCTAGACCCTCAGCAACACGTACAACCGACGGGGCTACAAACTTTACTTTGGCACCTGTCCCGAGCCCAGACCCGACGCCTGGCGCTCCGTGTTCCCGAGCGGACCGCATAACTCATACCAGGTGGATCAGAACGCGCGACGCCCGGCTGCGCTCCCCCCGCCAGCTCCGGTTCACCCCCGGTACGCGCTACCGCCAAGGAGACTGCGAAGGGCACTGCAGGCAAACATGGTGGACTATCTGCGCACCAACTCCAGTTTAGAACGCGAGCAATGGACTCTACAGCGGCTCAACTCCTTCGAGGACGTTAGCGACAGCTCGAGCTCGACTTCCTCGGTGTCGTCAGACCGGGGCAGCCCGCCCGGCAGCGGGTCGGACCTCAGCCCGAGCTCCGAGGACGGCGACGTGTTTCTCGACTACTTGTTTTCGCAGGGCCTGGCGGACGCGATGGACCGGGCGCACGCCGAGCTCTCGTGGGACGACATGGCAGCCGAGTACCGGTCACAGACCGAAGCCATCGACCACCAAGCACACGTGGCGGCGGACGGTATACCCAAAGATCTCGTAGATCTGTTTTTAAAGGACGATTATTTCGCCCCGACTGACGAGAAAGTCGGTATTGTCAACACTAACCCGCAGTTCGTTGCGGAGCAGTACTTCGCCGAGCCCGCTCCGCCCCAGCTACTGTCAGTCCATCCAGACGTCAATCTTCCCGCAATGCCGGTGGATCTGTCGACCACAGCCGCGCAGCAGCCCCGACACGTCTCGCCCAAACCCGTGGTCAAAACCGTAGACGTCACGAAACAAGTCCTGACGCTCCCCCTAAAGCCCAACAAGCCCCCCGCGGTCCTGATCAAGTCCGTGAAAGTTCCCGTGCCGATCTCCCCGAAGCCCGCCGCCGTCCAGCCCAAGCGGGAGCCCGTCCCGCACCAGGCGGCGGCTCAGGTAGCTAGGGTCGGCGGTCTGCGGGCGCAACACCCGGACATCTCGCCCGACCTCGACAACAACGACCTCCGGATTCACAAGTGCAGCTACGCGGGATGTTCCAAGACCTACACTAAAAGTTCTCATCTTAAGGTTGGTGTTGTCTTTTTTTTTTCATTTTTAAGTACATTGTAACTGCATGTAAAGACATTTCATGATTTATTATTTACCATCGCCCCACATACCTCAACACGCTACCTGTAGTGTTGGGTCAAAGGGTGATTTCATAAAAAGTCGTGGTGTATTTTCAATTTTATTTTAATATCGGCTGTACATTTCCGAATTCCTGTACAAGTGCTAGGTTAGTAGAGTTGTTTTTTTGACACCAAGTTGACCTGTATCCATACCTCGCGGCGTTCTATTGTCCATACGGGGGATATTTAAAATACCGTCAACTTGCGCCTCGGGTTTTTTAAACCCGATTGAACTCACATAGACCCGTACAATGTAGCATTATCTCCCAGAATACCCCGGGGATCCGGCCACATGTGCGCGGGGGCGGGCTGTGGTGGTAGCTCGGTTTGCGGATGTTGTCGTTTTGCTTCCCCTGTCATGGCACTTGCCAATCAACCAAGGAAACAACATGTACAGTACCAAGAAGAGAGGAAATTCCGTGATGCCACTTTCTAGGTAAAACCAGGGTGGCTTTGCGTCACATCCCTGACTGAAAACATGTGCTGTTAAATCCCTGACAGAAAAAGACGAAAACTTCTTTAGCACAGGTAAAGAAACAAACTATACATCCGGGGGAAAAACAACAGTTCCCAACCAGTACTTTCGTGTGTATTCATCCTTCATGCAGAACTAACCTTAGCTGATTCGGGGGGTTGACCATTTTCTTAGTTTCTCACACCTAAAACAACCAACCAAGATGACACTCGAGTGTCTCCCACCTGTTATGCTTTACCCGGAGTTAAGCCAAGTAAGGGACAGCCCATTACTGATCGCGGGGGGAGGGGTTTGGTTATCACCGAGATAAGAATCACAACATGCGTACGCATACCATTAACCTGTTCAACGATCCGTAATATGGATTTTTATCTCCTCTGAAATCAAGAATTGACTTTCGGACAGACGCAAAATACACAAACAAACCTGACTGTTGTTTTCTTTTCATAAGTTCCGCGGAGTGGTACAAGTTCGCCACGGTTGGTGGTGTTTCCGCGTGAACTTTTTCAAGTTGACAATTTGGATTCAGTAGAGCGTGGTTCCTTCTGTTTGTCTGTGCGGTTGGCTAAAATCATTGCCAGAAATCCTCCCCGTGTGAAAGGTTTAGCAATGTTAGAGAGAGGGAGAGAGAGAGAGCTCCCCAAATGTTGGGAGTTAGATCGAAGTGGGCATCCGGCTCTCTGCTAGCCTGGATGTCAGACCCATAGCACTCTTGGACCAGAGTTAGCCAGGGTCTAACTGATGGGGATTGTCGTAAAATTTCATTGGGAGCATGTTGGCCTTGGAGCCGAAGAACTGGCCTGTGTAAGCCATGGAAACAGTCTGGCACCCAGGCTAACTTTCTACGCAACTAAAGAAAGAACAGGGATGTTTGGCCGTACATGCGTCAGTGTTTGTTTACTCTGAACTTAAAACCACCAAAACCATAACAATGTAATCCAAAGATCTCTGTGTCGACAAGCTTTTCATAGGTAATCCGAATCTAATCTCTAAACAAATTAGGAGGATGGACCATTACGTAATTTAGTATACTAGCATCGCAACGCATATAAACTGGAGAGACCCCCCCCCCTCAACTGTCTAAATTGGCTGTCAAATCATTACCGTATGTAGTTGATTGGCATGATTTGCACACAAACACAACCTCTGGATAAAACATTAACAGCTTCAGAATTATCAAGGATAGCAACTTGGAGTATATCTTAACTAGAAGAGAAAACATGTCACGATCAAAGTCAATGCTGATAAGGCGAGCTTGATAAACAACTCGTCTTTGAAGGAAGGTGAATTAAGGAGAAGTTGATAGTTGACGGGTTAACACCTGGATTTACGTGAGTAGCTTTTAATGGCCCGTTTAACTCGACTACGAAGGCGTAAAATGTTTATTAACTGTTATCTACAAAGAAAGAAAAATTACGCAAGGACTAACACAGTTTTTGATTGTGATAACGACATTTTTGACGAATATGCAAATACGATGCCTATCTTGGGTATTGCAGCCATGCTGACAATATTACTACATGTATGCACACTGTACAATGGAACAACTTTTAAAACGTACACTATTTCATCTAAAGAAAACTTTTGGCTGTTGCATGAATCATTGTTCCACTTTTAAAATGACTTAGTCGAACCCAAATATGGAATTTAAAATGTATAACTCGGGCAAACACACTCACAGTCCAATAGGGCAAATTTCGAGGTCGCGTGACTGTGCTTCTTTTGGGAAGGACAACAGGAAAAGACTCGGTTTAGGCCGTGTTTTCCGTTTCTGAGAAATGACATTGAGTTTCCTGTCACTGAACCCTCGGACAAGGAGAGGTCAGTGTCGGGGTGAGGAAAACAAATCTGTGCGAGGAGAGAAGAAGTCGCTCCGTGTCAGGAACGGAAGGGAAGGGTCAGGGTTCGAGTCCCGGTGCTGCCGAGCACAACATGTGACGGGCGGTGAAAGTCCAAGGACTGAGCTGCACGGCCCCTGTCGCTCACATGTGTCGTACACATGATTTTAGGCCCAGTCACTTTCGTCGTAAGACGATATTCGTCGTACGGCCAATTTGACTGGGCCTTACGATAGTATTACGATCACCGTACGATTTTGATCCACTAGAGAATTTCCATCGCCTCTCTGAAGACTGTCTGACGCTTGAACGTCGTCAGTCACATGTGCCTTGCTCTAGGACAGATTCTGTCACGTAGCGTAGTAGCGGTATCCTTCAGTTTCAGTATCCTTTCTTTATCTTTCCTCACTTCTGAAGTTCTGTCAACCTCCAACTAGTTAACTAAACACCCGCTGAGCTGAATTGTGGCATTTAAATTGTCCGTAAAGAGAGTGGCAGCCCATCGTCTTCATGTAGCGTTACGCTAAACTAAGAAAGCAAACACAAGATGGTCCGACCCGATGAGAAACGGTGTGGTATCTTAGTAACAGTGTGACACTCGGGTTGAAACTGGCTTCTATCTAAAATGTTTTAGCAGTTCGGGCTTCAACTTTGCCAAGAGTAACGGGAAATGAACGATGTCTATCAATAATTGACATGGGGCAGGAAAGGGTAAAATTTGCATTTTTTTTACTTCCGTGTACGAAAGTATTGTTTTGAGTTGCTGAGCTGTGCGTTTGTGTATCTGTTTATCAAGACAGGTGCAATATGATGATGAAGGTCCCAGAGAATCTAGCTGTGATGCATCAGGAATATGGGCGACATGGGGGATTCTGAAAAGCCGAAGATTTCCTGGAAGTCTGAAATTTTCAATTTCTTGTAACATTTGTGAGAAAAAATCTATTAATAGTCTGAATGCTAGACTGTTGCCAGGGCTAGTTCCTCGGCTCCAGGGCCAACATGCCCCCAAGGAAATTTTACCACAGACAGCCTTTTCATAGTCAGCAGTGTCTGTGGTAGTATTTCCTTGGGGGCATGTTGGCCCTGGAGCCGAGGAACTGTCCTGGCAACAATCTGGCACCCAGGATACAATATCAACGATATAGCCCCATATACTGAGTTTATGGACGTTGTGTTAAACATGGCTATGATATGTTGTTAATCCACTTGTTGCTTTACGCGTTGAGATGTAAAAAAATAGCCTGCGGCCTCAGGGGCAAGGTGAGCTCACCTTTCAATAATCTGTGATAGTTTTCTGCAACACTAAGCAGTAAACAGTACTGAACCGACCACTTCACACTGTGCACGCGTCAGTGTAAACTACAAAGGGGTTTGGGTCATAGACCATTAACGTCATAAGTGCAATTTGGGGTCCTCCAAATGATAACAGACTTTGTTTGCCTTCTGCTTGCCACTTAAGTGGTGTCCCATAGTCTTCCTGGACTTCCTTGTTTGTTTGCTTGTTTGTTTGTTTGTTCGGATATCACAGATTGTTTGCGTCACAAATTTCACAGCTCGAGAAATAAGCAGTTCTTCGTGGGTTAATTTGTTGCATTATAGTTCGACAAAGACATTATACATGTCTCTTTTGAAAGGTGCGAAGCGTGAAAAAATTCGCACCAAAAAAACTATTCATCCATATCTTCACTCCGATCTTGCCCGCAAGCGTACCCCATTATAATGATACGTTGTACACCAGGCTGATACCGTACCTCAGTCGTTTAGAAAGTAGTCATTTTTGTACTCATCATCTAAACAGGCACTACCCACACCAGCACTTAATACACTAATGCCTAGAATTAGATTAAAGAGGTTAAATTGTTTGGTGGGACTTAAGGTATGATTAAGGGGACCATCGCAGGTAAAAGCCTGGGTCTTTCATCTGTAAATCTCCACACAGAGAAGAGATGACCCAGAAATGTTCTAAGTGGTCAATCAGGTCAACGTTTTTTTTTCTTTGGCCAGGAAACGCCGAAGGGAGGTACGCTAAACTTTAAAAGGCCGTAAAACTTTCTCTGTTAGATAACTTTTCGGATTCTTCTATTTGTGTATGGCTAGAAAATAACTGTTTCGTATATTTTTCTTTGTGGACATTCCGTATTGTGGGGTTTGTTTTTGTTTTGTTGTGGTTAAAGGGGTCAAACGTAGCGTGAAACGCTTTTGGATGCGGTGGGAGTTATTTTGGTAGCACCAAACGCACCGCTGGTCAGGCGGAACTTCCATTTGAGTCCATTTCTCACGCCCGATGTCATCTATCTCTGTTTGCAATCTGTCAGTGCCAGTTTGAAAATATTACACAGTATATAATTGGCAGTGATAGTTGACAATATCTATTGGCTCTAAAATCTAGAGACCAGAGGATCTTGCGTCCTATCCTATATTATTTACCCCTCCCTCCCTTTCCCATATCACACACAAAATACACAACCGCAAGTACCAACACGAAAACAGAATATTATTTTCCTTAAAACAGTTCAAATCATCCGTATCGTCAAGACAACTATTTACAAATAGCTCCGGGCAACGTCCCGGCTCATTAGTATGCAAACCGTCTCCTCACGCCGCAGGACGTGTTTAAATGTTTAAATCACTCGGACATGATAACCCAGTTTGTCTGCCTGTCATATCCACCAATCAGCTATGTCGGCGTGACGTCACCTATCAGCACGTGTTGGACGGTTTGGTTTAAAAACGAGGTTAGATACACAACTCGGTGTTTCCTTTTGCGTCCAAATTGGACAATCAAACGGCATGATACTATTGTGTGCGTCGGCCATAGGGCATGTTATGTGGATATTACTCTACACGTGATGTTTTATCATGCAAGCTATCTTGATAACGGACTTTATATATAGAAAACCCGCATCGCTTCGTTTGACCTCGTTGATGGGGAGTTGGCATTTATTTAGTCCTCAGTAGCAATAATTGGAAGTGGGTGGGCGGAGATTGCAATTGGGTTTCAGTCGATTGGCTGCGTGGTGACCCGAGTGGTTGGATGTGGTATGAAGTTGCCAAGGATGTGTACTGTTTAATCATGGTATGAAGCACAAATCATGGTGCAAAACCGGAGTGAGTGACGTAGAATCATGAGTAATCATCCTTTCTATGATGTAATTCAACCGGGTATTTCACTGGCAAGATCAATACACTTACAAACACCAAGAACGATTCCCCGAAGTCTGAAATCTCCCTTGTTTTGTTTTCTTGTATGTTTACCTTCGCAGAAGAAAAACATAGTGTTTTTGCTCTGTTTCTTTTTCTTTTCTACAAACACATATATAGGGTCAATGACCTTGACCAGGCGTCTGTCACCATGGTAACTGGTGATGTAGCACACACCCTGTGGTGTTGAGTTACATCATGTAGCAAGGACAGACTCGAAGGGCTGGTCACCGTATATAGGAATGCTAGACCATCCCCATGTAAAGGTAAACATTGGAAATGTTGCTTTTCTAATTTTTTCTTCTTTTTCTTTTTCTTTTCTACACTCCAGGCTCATTTGCGGCGTCACACCGGTGAGAAGCCGTTCGCCTGCACGTGGCCCGGGTGTCAGTGGAGGTTCTCCCGGTCGGACGAGCTGGCCCGGCACACGCGCTCCCACTCCGGAGTCAAGCCCTACCAGTGCACCATGTGCCACAAGCGGTTCTCCCGCTCAGACCACCTCTCCAAGCACATCAAGGTCCACGTCCAACGCCTCGCCAGGACCAACCGGATATGACGTCACGTCAAACGGAAGTGACGTCCTCCGCGCACAGACTGATGGGGGCTATGGAGGGACTGTATACATTTAGAATGTAGATGTAGAACTGCGCACTACGTTGTTATAAGACAATCATGCCATTCCTAAGGAGTGAACTTAAAGGAGAGAGCAAAGAGACTGAAACTCAGCGTCTTCCACCTTTTTTTGACCATTGAGAACTCCTTGAAGGAAGTTGACGAGGCAGAGACTTAGTTAGGAGCCAGGACAGGTGTCCCTTCCATTTTTGCAGGATTGCTAAGTTGACTAGTTGCTACGGACTGGAGGGAACTGTATGATCGTTTGGTCAAGGACATGTGGTCTACAGCGCACGGTCACTCAAGGTCACTCAAGAACTGTTGAACTTAGAAGGACATCCGCCACCCCTGCTTTGAATGGGTTCTCCCACAAGACAGACGAGGACAAATCCTACAATTCCTAGCGAGAGCGGTTGATTCCATTCCCTCAAAGTGGTGCATCTTCCGCAGAGACGTTTGTCACCGTGTTTACAACCAACGACGCAATCTTGAGTGCGATTTGAAGGGACATGAGGACCACACATTACATGTATTACATACATGTATAACATACATGCTTTACTGCCATTATTGCTCAAAGCTGATTACTTGTGATACTTGACAAGAAATGAGAACTTAGAAATATGTACATGTGCTAAAATGCCTTCGCCCCTGAGGCGTCGCCAAAAAAATACGAAACATGCGATGATTGGGATCAAAATGCATTGGTTCAAAATGATTGCTATGCTTAGAACAACGTCAGGGGAAATACGTATACATGTACAGGGAGACTGGAGCAGAATATGTTGTCAAGAATAATGTTGTCTGAGAGAGCTAGGGACAGAGGGCGTATTTTGTTGGTTAACAGTATGATAAGGCAGAAACAAACAAAAAACAGACAAAAACAATAGGTCAGTTAAATACAGTGTTAAGAGAAAAAGCCATGCACTTGTCAATGTAGAGCCCAAAGAGTGTGTTTACACATGACGCCATAGCCCCCATGTTGGTTGGTTACACATGGTTGGTTGGTTGGTTAAACATGTTTGCAGGTGACTGTGACCATGGATACATGTTCAAATTCGCTTGACGAACTTTCGGTGTAGCCATCCAAATGGCGGCCAGTACCTACGTCATGGTCACGTGAGAGCAAACTCTCAATATGTACTGCGTTTATGTCAGAATTTGACTCTAGCAAATGTTCTTTAATGGGGCTGTAAGGGGTCGCCTGATGTACCCTACCCCATCACTCCATTTGGGATTTACATGGATAAGTGCATGATTCAAGGGTACAGGGGGTGGCCACTAAATCACAATACATTTTATTTTCTTTGTAAAGGATTATATACTTTACTTCAGGTTGCGAAAACTGAGGCAGCTAAAACGAGTGACATGGTTCAAAATAGTTTAGTACATCCTTAAGGAACAAATGTTTATCAAACACGAAGGAGCGTTTGTTCTCCTTTGATATCAAAATGAGACATTGTTTACCTAATCAAAATGATGTGGTTTGATAAGCAAGAAATGTAAGAGGGGCCGAAAAAGGTCGTATTAGTAATGGACAGTGTTGAAATGGAGCTTTTTAAAGGCTACATTGTAAGGGAGGGGTAATGTGAATTTTTCTGATCCCAAATACCGAGCTATTTTATTTGAGTTGTACCAGAGGGACATTAACAACTTGCCAAACGACGCAGCGAGGCCCAGAACAAACAATTTTAAACCCAAGTACAATATTTTCATGTCGACGCGTTTTAAAAACAAACATGGTGATTCAGTGGCCGCCCCTGCAGCCCACACAGTGTACATGTGTAAAGTCAAAACATAGCGTAAATGGAAGCAAGATGGCGGGGGTAGGAAGGGGCAAGATTACTATGAAGTTCGGTCAAGTTTGGTCAGGTAGTGGCACATGCAGCTACAGCGGAGGTCAAGGGGACTGTGTTGTTTATACACGGGCTTCTAATCTTACCCGTCTGTATTGTGTAGAGACGCTGGAAGCGGACGCATGTGTTACGCAAGGTCGTCGCTACACAGACGGATGTTGTTATAGTTCTGTACGTCACGTTTCTGTCGTCTGATAAGCCGCGTCAGGATGATAAAAGCGCGGGAAATGGGGAGGTTTACCTAGCTACTGTGCGCGCTCGCTCTCTCGGGGCAACGTTCCAAGCTTCTAATGCCAGACTTTTGTGTCAACATCCCGACGTTGTAAAGAAATTTGTAAAGTGGTTGGTAGGGCCAACAGGCGGGGAATAAAAAGCCTTGTGTTTTGGAAAGTTCGTGTGCGGGTGATGTTTGTGTTCTGGTTTTGTTTATAAGAGGCCAAGGCCAGGGTCACAAGGATATAATACTATGAGAATAAAGCATTTTTGTACATTCTACATTAGATCAGCATACACAATTCTACACGTTTTTACAACAAATGTTCAGCACCTAGGAATCAGATATTTACGAAAGAATTTTTATTCCACTCTTCACAATTCTGTTGTCATTGAGTGCTCAGTGTACGGGATTCACGTCCAATTTATCAAAACAACCGACTTTAAACTGTCATAGGGCTCAAGTGGACTTGTCAGTCACAAAATCATATACGTGCGCCGGTAGACCTCCGTAGACCTCCGCGAAATGCAAAAGAACAAAATATACGTACACATCAGCACCTTTTATGAAAGAGGGCATGTTGTGAAATATGTGCAAAACATTTCTGGTGTTAAACACTGAGACAGACAACATCTTCTTGGCTACTGCCATGCCTATGTATGTCTGTCATATTTTCTCTTCAAAAATCTCTCCACGGTACCTTAAATAAACGTCGTGACATAAACTCTCTCTTTGTATACATCCCTGCATATACTCCTTGTGCCCCCCCTCCCCCCAATCGAATTCTTACCTACGCCACAGTTTTCCACACGTCCCGAGAGTCTGTGGAACGCTTCGCCCACTTCAGCGTTGATAAATGTCCCCGTCTCGCCGCTGGTGTTGACTCTGTCACGTTCTGGTATTATTATATAACCATGATAAACTCATACATCATACACGAGTTGAAGTACGTGCAATTAACTATAACACTGGAACTGTTGTTTTGAAAAATGCCCCGTTCCCCTCTCACATGGTCCTATTTGCATTAGTATGGTTTAATGTATTGGCTCGTGTGTGCTGGAATATGAAGCACCCATTCTAGAGAAATCTTGCTACAATTTTCCCTCCCAATATCTGCTTGAAGACTTGATGTGCTTTAGGTTAGAAAAGCCTATACTACACACAATATAAGCATTTATGCAAGGATAATATAATGTCCTTTATTTATGCAATTATCATATTAACTATGGAAGATGCGAAAAAAGGGTAGGTACAAGTACAGGTGTTAATTGTTTGTATCTTTGTATATAGAGGTTTAACCAAAACAAACCTATATATATGGCGCCGGATAGAAAAAGAAAAACACAAACACGCTGAATCGCGGATATGTATAGGAACAATACGGGACGGTTTGAAAAACAAATACTGTAAGGCCTAAAATAACTTATTATCGTACACAATAATCAACGTTAACCTACAAGATACAGCAGGTAAACTTAGCAACGGTTCGTGTTTCTTTTTTCTCTGTCAGAGCGCGCTACCGCAAACTCACGGACGTTTCTACCCACTCACGCCTTGATAAATTGATCAGTTTCGCCATTTGGTGTTGACTCTACTATCGAAGTTAAATCGGGCCGACCGGAACAGTCAACACACCTAAAGGGGCTACGGACAACACGAGTAGGACTCTCTTGGCACCCAACCCTAACAATCCTGGCATTTCTGTGTTGTGGAAAAGTCGTTTACTCGTGTGGATTTTGGCAGAGCTCCAGGTGTGGGTTATTCAACATGACGGCGGAGTTATGCAATGGTATGTGTGTGTCCAGGGTAGGACCTAATGTGGATATAATCAGTTCATGGCGCGGAACAAGTTCGGATTTAGCCAATCAGGACAGGCATGCCGGG